GCAGAAGATTCACTAATACCAAGGAAGGGATGAATTAGTTGGCATGCCTTATGGTTGTGCTTCTGAGCAGAAAAGACAGCTGCTGTCTTTTGACGAATTTTGGGTCTGAGGCAAAAAGCAATGGCTCAGTCTTTCCGGAGAAAGTTCCAAGGCGGCTTTTGTCTTGTCTCCAGGACTATCTCCTGAGAGGCAGGCTTGTCATCCAGGAGTCAAATAAATCCAGGCTGGGAGATGCAGAAGAGAAGATGAGCGGTGTGTTTGCCCTCTTGGCATGCATCCATGGCTCTCTGCTAAAAATCCTTCTCCTTAAGACAAATTATGGGTCCCTGAGGCCCTTCACCAAAGGAAAGTAAGCAGTACTCAGGCAAATTAAGTAGTGCATCCCGGATACAGGCAAAAGGGCTCAATCACTATTATTTTTTCCAGTTCAAGAACTTGAAGTTTTTTATTTCAGTGATATTCAGTGCATGTTTAAACCAGAGTGGGAATTATCTGCAAGTGAATATTTGTCTACCTTTTGCATGCTAATTTCTTAAAATCATGACTTTAGTCTATGTAATCTTCTTTTGCTTGACTGCCTACATAAAATAAAGAAGCCAAAAGATATTGCTTTGAGAAGTCTGTAAAAATATAACCATACCTAGCCTACGCAGTGATCATAAGGGTTAATTAATTCAAATTTGCAGTGTTTGGCAAAGAAAGTGTGGGAAAGAGAGACAATCGATAAAATATATCCTTCATAAACATGTCAACAACCTATCTGCAATATTTCCTCCCAAGCACTGCCAGTTTATTTTTGTATTATTTATTTGCATCCCTGAGACTTAATAAAATATTTCTCTTATTATTTTAATATCAATATTTTATCAAGTCTTCTCTTTCTCAATAAATATAAATTACATTTTGGCTATTTTCTATAGCTCAACTTCTTTAAAAATAAAAACGGTGAAAGAAAAATTTATATGGTCCTCATTAATCAAGAAGCAAATAAAATCAGATGGCTTTCAATCCATTTTCCAGTAATGTATGAAGTGTTAGATGTGGTTTGTGTTTTGTATATGTTTGCTTTAGATTAAAATGAAAATTTCATAATGCTAGCTGAAATACAACCCAATTAAATTTTTAATGTCTTTGTTTTCATGGTTCTGGATCTAACTTTTGAGAAACTTACACTGCAGTGACAACCATATAACCACCTTCCTGAGGCAATGCTGCACAACTTGGAACCAATGAGATATTTACTGTCTGTGTGGTGATATACAAGCCCAGCCTCCTTAGTAGATGATTACATGGTAGAGATTGAGTTTCTTTCCCTGTTATAGAAAAGAAGTCCTTAAAGGATGGCCAATTCCGAATGGCATTTGCTGGCTAATAGGTAGTGAGAGCAGGCATAAATTTGTAATTTGTGAAAGGTGAGCCCCGAGAATTTGAAAGAGCTATCCAAAGTCATATGGCTGATGGCAGGTTCAAGACCTCAGGCCTTCTTTCCAAAAAGCTCTCCTTCCTTGATGGATATTTCCATTCAGGGTGATCCTTAGCCTCATACAGAGACTGAAGGAGTATCTCAGGGCCAACCAAGATATGGCTAAGGGCATAGCCACACACAGCTATATAAAACAGTTCATATGCCAGAGATTCTGTGAAGAAATTTTATACATATTCTCTTTTTCTCTTCACAAGAGCTCTGCAAGGTGGATTTCATTATGTTCCCATTTTATGAGAAACTGAAAAACACCAAGGTAACTCAACTTGTTCGAGATCATATATCTTGGTCAAGCCAGAAACCAAACCTAAATCTGTCTTATTTGAGAGCTCATGTATTAAACTACTTCCCCACTCTACCTCTGCACAAGAAAGGAAAGGACCAAACATGACAAAGTCCTCATTTATTATTTTCAAAGGGCTCCTTCTTACATCTCCTTTAAAAATAGTCACAAACAATGGCCTCATGAAATGTTTCTGAAATAGGAATTTAAATTTGAAGAACACAAATTGTGGTAACATGGTAGCTTTGCATAAATATGTCCTTTTTGCAGATGAAATATGGAACAATGAGTAGGACCCCTGTGTGAATTATTTTTGCACAGGTATTAGCTACTGTTTGTAAAATCCTATTAAGAAATTTTTGCCGACAACAGCCAGCACTGGGAGCTAAACAAGTTCCTCCGTTATGTCAGTGATGCTCCTGTGGCTGACAGAATATTTATCCCCAGAGGTAACTGTTATAAATTGCATTTTACTCCTTCAGTTGGCGCAAGCTTGTGATGGAGAGTGGGTGGAGAGGACAACCTGCAGTTCAGGGTGGTTTGGAGCTGGTTGCCTAGGAAACTGAGATGTGCAACCCATTGCCCACAAAAACCAGCTGTCCACAAGAGAGGGGATTTTCTTTTTTGATTTGAGTTGCTTTTCAAATGCTCTTCCCATACCTCTTGAGGTGCTAATTGGGGCTGCTGGCCTTCTGCGGGCATGGCGTGGCAAGGTGGAAAGCAGCTTAGTGAGGCAGGATAGGACGGTTGTTATGAACACTGTGTATTCGGGATGGGGGTGATGGCGCGGTTCAAATGAGCTTCTAAGACGATGAGTTGATCAACAGATGAATATTTTATGTAGCGCAACATCTAGGCAATCTTGATCGTAACTTCTGTGCATCTAAATTTATAGCACCAAAACTTACTTTTGTAACATGAAAGTTTTATTTGCTATAATCTACTCTTCCCTGCTCTTGTGTTACTTGTGATAGAAGCCTTGGTTCATAGTATTTATTTTCAAGGGTAGCACTAAGAAATTCATAAATCTTTGATGAAAGTGGTGTCAAATTCCCCAATACTTTTAAAAGATACACATTTAATTTTTAAATGTGTCATGCATGTCCGCTTGCGTTTTATAGGTGTACGCATACATAGTTAATGTAGCTGGTATTTAACCATATGAAATGCTAATATTAGACCACACAAAGCCTATAAAAGTGTCAATCTTATACAGTTCAACTTAAAAATCAATAGCAGGAGTTGTAGGATGCTGTTTTTGGTATGCAGTATTCTTGTCCTTTTTTTTGCCTGCATACCCTATTTCCTTTCTTCTCATCTCCACCTCACTTTATCCTATTCTAGCCCCATCCAACCCCGACTCCCCTGTTCCAGGGGTAATTCACATTACAACCTAGAACAGAACATTCAGAGCCATGAAATCAGAAACAGATGTACACAATCTGTGCACTCGCACCCATCCCAGAGATGAAGCTTTGGAATAGAATCCCAGACTCCTGGATTGTTATTTACAGCCAAATATTCTCCTTCCTATAATTAAATGTTATGTCTCTTCTTTCCCCCTATCCTTAATGGGATTTTACTCTCATTTTGAGTAGTTTCCTTGTTTTTTAACTGTTCACTCACTTGAATTCTATTCCTCTCCTGTGTGCTAGAAATTGCTCACATGTGCTGAAAGCTGTAATCATGGCACGGTGTCACATGGGGCACTTGTAGTCATTGTTTTCTGGCTTCCTAACTTTGCCTCCACCTAATAACTTATTCGTTTGCAAAGTAAAAGTAAGTTTATTGGAGAAGAAAATACTTTTGCTTTTATCCTACTAGCATTAGACCCCAGATTTCTTGTCTTCTCCGGCCAGGACAAACGGCCTTCTCCAAGCTACCTTCCTAGTTTCTTACCGTCAAAGCAAAGTCAACAGTCAATTGCACAAAGGGGTCCCATGAAAAAGGGCCTTGAATGGATGTGGTTGGCCAGAGTGTTTGAAGTCTTATGAGTCTTGAGAGGTGCAGCTACCCACTGATGTGGTAGGATGTAGTATTCTCACTCTCACCGAGGACAGCTTCTCTCACTGCTTGCTCTGTTGTGACTGGACCCACATTTATTTTTAGGTCATTGTAAGAAATCTCTGCCCAACAGGTGGGCAAATGCCCACATTGCTGTGCCCCTGGGCTGCTCCGATCTCACCTGTTCTGAGTGTTCACCAGAGGGAGACAGCTCAGTGATGTGGGCCTCACTGCTCTTCTCCACTCTGCACCCAGCCACCTCTTCATGCTTTGCCCCCACACAGGTGCCTGCTGTGACCAGCTCTGGTCACTGGGCTATGGTCCTACTTGGAAAGGAAAGTGCTTCTTCGTAAAGAAAGAAACCATCAAGTTCTAGGAGGTTGTGAATGGAGCTCTCTGGACCAACTCAGGGGGCTCCAGTCCTGGAAGTTATGGGGTGGTCTCTTGTCCTCAGCAGAGAAAACCCTGGTTGAGGAGAACACTTTTCATGCTGGTTCTTGTGTAAGGCAGGACTGTTACTTGCTTAGAGCATGGGCTGCCTTTCTCTGGCCTGTCAGGGGGTTTCAAAGCTGCCATAGCAGGAACAAATTCAGATCACAGACGTCAGGAGCCAATGACCCTTGTCCTCCCCGTCAGTAGTGAAACTCCAGAATAGTCCTCCAGGATGGGAAAAAAGTCCTGACAGCTGCTTAAAGGTTGTCTTATAACTAATTCCAGAAGAAGTACTCTTAGAGAGAGACCATAAAAATAAAGAAGAAGAAAAATGAGACCAGTATACACAAGAATAGAAGGGCAGCTATTCACAGCTCATGCAGGTGTGCTCTGAAAGTCAAACCCCTGCGTCAGCATTTAGTAGGAAACCCTTGAGCTCTTCCACCTTGCAGAAAGCACAATTGAATCAAACACACACACACACACACACACACACACACAAACACGCTTCATCAGATCCCACCTGCAAGTCTCTGAGGAAAGAGGCTCCTGTGGGTGAAAAATGAGAAAATGAGGCCGGGCGACAGTCCAAGGACGTGGTGGTTTTAGCAGACCTACGAAGAACACCGATGTAAGAGGCTGTTCATTTAAGTCTCCTGACAGCCTTTTCATAGTTTCTTTTTAAAGTGCATGAGTAATTCTAGTGTTGTTTTGTTTCCAAAACTGAATAATAAGTCAAACAACAACAACAAGAAAACCACTACCACCACCAGGTCAACAACTCCCATCATGACCACTATGGAGTCTCTGGAAAGAACTTACCTTGTGAATGCTAAAGCCACCAGGATGTATGCCTGCACATTAGACAGGTAAGAGACATCCATGTCTGCTTTATTTCCTATGTCTTAAATATTCAATAAATTCCTATATCCTGTTGCTTCTTTGCAATTGAGCATATTTTGGAACATTTTAGAAGTGTATGACTGACTTGTATAATTCATATCCTGAAATATGCAATTCGGTTCCTTGAATAGCCTAAGGGCATGAAGGAAAACTTTTATTTAAAATATTTTTCTTCTGTAGTTTCATGACAGAAAATAGACATGTACAATCTAATGAGTTTACTTTTTCTTTCCTGAGTTGCACTTTTAAGACTGACAGTATATTTTATTAAATTATATTTAGAAACAAATCAGAATTTTGGACAATAGAGCAAACTTGTGGTTATACTGGTCTTAAACTTAATTGTTTATATCATACATACACCTGTTATAAATACTGGCAGAATTTAATGATCGTCATAGTTCCAGTGCCAACTGTTCTGTACCAGAGTGTCAAATGCAATATAGTCATTCATTCTTTCATCTTTTTAAACAGCTATAGCTTAAGCACACCTTTGGATGTGTTTGACATATGATGGAAAAGAAAATATTCCTAGTCTTGGATCTCAGTCATCTAGCTTGAAGTCTAATATGGAAACTATTTGAGAAAGGGACAACTATAAAAAAACCTAGCACTGTCAGGCTGGGGTATTCAGTGAGGAGATTTCAAGGAATATTTGGTTTTCTACCTGGGTTTTGGGTCAGAAAAAGCTTTGTCAGAACTGATAGGTTAAGAATCTCAGAATAGAAAGGAACTCAAACAGGGTTAGATAAATCCTACACAGGAAGTTGTTTTTGAGAAAATTTTCTGAACTGAGATTACTGTGTGGCAAAGATAGGGCGTATAAACAAGAGAACTGAGTGTGCTGATCTGAGTCAGCACTTAAGAGAAATGTGTTAGTACACATAAATGAATGGAGGAAAATACAAAGTGAATTGACAGTAGGAGGACAATTTAAGAGATTACTTACTCATTAAAAACACAGGTAATGTTTTTGCATGTTTTCCAGAATCAAATTAATACTCTGAAGAATAGTAATAAGTTTGACAGTATCGAAAAATTTTTTTAACAATACAGGGACTTTTTAGAAGGTTATTTATTTATAACTTTGCTTTAAAATTTATATAACAAACAATCTACCATATACACTACCTCACATTAGAATGACTGCTTTTCTTAGAAAATAATGTAAGATGTGAGTTTTTGAGGTCATGAACACCAAAAACAAAGCCTTAGGTCAGCAGAAATTTTGGATAACAAACTGTTAACACTATGGACACTATGAAGAGAGTCTCTCTCTCTCTCTCTTTCTCTGTCTTTATATATGTGTATTTCCCCTCTCACTACACTAGACTGTTAGCCTCTGTAGCACAAAAAAGCCAAGCACTTGTAATCACAGAATCCTGTTCCCCTCATCAATGGGTATGATCTGCACAGTGCAGTGCTTATAAAAGCCACGAGTCTCATCGTTTTCTTGTTAAATAAAAATATTAAATCTGGAAGAGTTATTTATTCAACTATTCATTTTATCAGGTAGGAAATCATGTGTGAGTGAGAAAAATGCCTTCCCTAAAGTCGGGTGGCCTTATGGTCAAGCCTCCTGGGCCCTGCTTGTCAGCTTAGTATTCTCTTCCTTCCCCTCCACCCTGGGGCCTGCTGAATCCTTAACCCACAGCCTGTGAGGTCGTAGGCACCTTGATTGTCTTACTGTTTGTCCCCACTTCTAGTCTCCTATTTTCATGTACTTTGCTTTACGGGTGACTTTGTCACTTTGTATTCCTTCTTCTGTCTCCTTCCTCTTCTACTCACCACTGGTTTTCTATTTAAAATATGACCTGCTGTTAAGAAACTTAATGAACAAATGTTGCTGGGAAAACTGAATATTCAGAATTAATTAATGTGCTTTTCTGACATCATATTAAATAATTCACTAAAAATGGATCATAGGTATAAATGTAGGAGCTAAAACTATAAAATTCCTCTAAAGAAACTGCAAACAATTCTTTCAAGAAAATGAAAAGTCACAGATTGGAAGAAAATGTTTGCAAATTATTTATATTTTATGGTGTGTGCATTGGAAAGTAGGACTATTATAATTCAATAATAAAAGACAGATAAGTCAACTATAAATGTGAACAATTCAGATAGATGTTTCCCTAACAAATATACAAATTTGTAATTAGCATGTAAAATATGTTCAACAACATTAGTCATTAGGGAAAAGCAAACTGAAGCCACAGTAAAATATTATTTCATACCCACTAAGGTGACTATACTCAAAAAGATAAATAAAAGTATAATAAGCATTGGGAAGCATGTAGAGAAATAGGAACTCATATATATTGTGTGTGGGAATACACAATGGTGTGGTGCTTCCAAAAACAGTCTTGCGGTTTCACAAAAGGCTTGTTGTATATTATGACCCAGGAATTCCATGGTTAGGTATTTACTCAAGAAAACAAAAAAATACTTCCAAAAATTTGCATGTAAAATTTTCCTGACGTTATTCCTCACATCATAATTGCTCCATTCATCCCCAAAAGAAGCAACCCAATGTATTAAGTGGTTAACATATATATACAGTATTATATATCCATACAGTGCAGCATTTTTTGGAAACAATGTAAGACTGGTACAATATTTGCTACATGATGAATCTTGAAACGTTATTCTAAATGCAGAAGCCACTCGCAAAAGACTACATATTACATGATACATCTATGTGAGATGAGCAAACAAAAGGTTGATTTTTGATTATTTAAGATTCTTATGAAAATGTCTATCTTAAAAGTTATTTTCCACTTTATTATTTCCAGAGAACAATGATAATGCAATGTGGTTCGTGAAAACAGCAGAATAAGTTAAAAAGTGCATCTTTCTTCAGAGTCTTCATATTTTGTTTTGCTAATCATTTCAGGAATATGAACCGTGTAATGCTACTTCCCTGCTCAAAACCTTCCAGTTTCCTCCCTTTAGACTTTGAATAAAATTCCGCACTGTACACTGGCGTCCAGTTCTTTGACATCTGTGTCCACCTACTTTTTTTTAACCTCATCTTTTTTTCTTTTCTTATGCCACAGGAGCCATTATGTAGTTCAAAATGAGCTCTTCAAGCAGACACTGCTTGTCTTGCCTTTGTGTATCTGCACCAAAATGCCTCTGCTTGGGTATTTTTTGCTCACATAGGTAATCCTGGATCTTGCGATCTTTCTGTTAAGGCATCACCTCCCCAGAAGTGAAAATTAAGTTGAAAGTAGCTGAAAAATAGTGACTTCCCCTTCACGTCTCTTTCCATCATACTGCACAGCCTCTGCAGCTACTGATGCGGTTACTTCTTGTCTCCCTCTACTAGGACGGCAACTCCTTCCTTAAGGACACTGACACCTAGGACAAAGAAAATAGAGCATTAGCACTTCTGAGAGGGCAGGCACCTTGCAGGCACGCAGTACATAGTCATTGGATGAATGAATGAATGAAGTGTTGGAATTGCGTGGTGCCACCAAAACCTTCCTTCCATTTTCTAACAGAATATATAGTGATTTGTGGTTCTTAGGCTAAGCGATGTGAAAGTATATATAAAAAGGTGTGTAGTTACATAACACATAGTCAACACATGAAAAAAACAAGGTAAACAATAAAATTATTACCAGTTCCATTCTGGAGATATAATAGGAGAAGGACTTTACCTTTACCACCAAATGAAAATAAAAATGAAAGATTCTCTATGATGATAAAACATAAAACCCTGTTTTCTAAATCCCATTTTAACAAATGCGCTTAATTTTCTAGGCTACAGGCATAAAATGTTCTAATATTTCTCTATTTTTTTCATTCTGCTTCTCCCTCTGTTACTCTTTTTGATGTTATCTGGCCTGTTATTTCTACCCTTCCAAACTGTAACAGCATTTGAATGCATGACAATCTATTGGGATTTATTCACTAATAGAAAATTCTCATTACATTTTTAGATGCATCATAGCATTTGCTTTTTATTTCACTTGCTTTTAAGCCTCCTTCTTAAAAAATACTTCTTGGAATTCACATTGCTTTTGCAAATCAAGAGCCTGTTCTGCATCTAGAGAACCTTAGATTACTCTGCTCCCATGCAATGATGAGGAGTGTATTCTAACTCTGGTTTATTAACTTCTCTTAGCAACATAGCCCCTTTTCAGAGATCAGGGAGGCCTGTGGGCTCCTTCCTTCCCTATAGAACACAGAGACACACGAAACACCTCGACACACTGCATCCAGTTTCACTGGACATTCATTGTTGAGTCTGTGCTCAGTGCTTCAGGACCAGTCTCAGCTCAGACCACATTCATACCGTCAGAGTCCGGAACTGGGAAGCAGGACTCCAGTGTAAAAACTGCCTAGGTTTTTCATACTCCTTTGGTGTTACCGAGACGCTCAGTTGGTGGAATTCCTACCTGGATCTGTCCTCTAAGCTCTTCCAAGTTAAGTTCTCCTGGTCATCTATGACCTATTTTCACCAGCCACAGATTGATGAGAAATATAAAGCCAAATGTCCCATGACAACAGTAAATTTGACAGTGCTAGAACAACGACAGCCGCGCTTCACGCCTGCTGCCTTCTCAGCATAGGGAGCAAAGCTCTCTGTGTCCACATCGGCACTCAGGCTCCTCTGGACTGGTGTCCATTGCCGAGCCATGCTACCGCATTCTACGACTGAGTGTTATATCATGAAATCTACTCACTTTTGGAAGTGAACATTCTGTGCTGCTTGCCAAATGGTTTTTTGTTGCAACAGAGATCTGCTCAAAGCCCTAAGTGCTAGCAACGTCGTTGGTATCAGCGTTTGAAAATCAGCTTGGGTATATATGACAAAATCCTTAGAAATGTACACTTTGACCAGGTAATTTCCATTTTAGCACTATACTTTAAGCAAACAATAATACAGGCTGAGCAAAGATTAACTGGAAGAATACGAGTTATAGGCAGCTTGTATGGGCAAATAACTAGAAATAAAATTGTCAACTAATGAGAAATTGTTTAGTTATGCTATGGCATTTATATTAAATCTAAAATTCTCCATATGATAAAACAGAACATTTAATATAGTGATAAAGTTTTCACTCCATAGAGCTGGAAATCAGGTTCTAAACTTGTATCTTTAGAAGGATCATTTTGCAACACTGTTGTCCTATTCTTACCCATCCCAGCCCTTTTCTACTGAGTTGTTGCCCTGACATTTGGGTAGAATTTACATTATTCATGGATATAGGAATCAGCATACTTGGATTCAGCCAATTATCTAAATGTAAACAGGGCTATGTCAGTCAGCTCATCTGTATTCATCTGATGTAAATGGTAGATTCTTAAGCGGCCCACTCCAGATACTTGCTAGCAGTTGTGAGGAGTACTTTGTCTCTGTGTATATGAAAAAGGAAGCACATAGCCTGATTACCTTGGACAGCAATCTCACTATCATGAGGAAGACCAACCTTATCTTAAAACATAACTGAGAAAAATAGAGAAATGGAACTGGATCAGGAGACCAAACAGTGCCTGAAGCTTAGGTTCTTCTACATGTTTTCAGCTACAGACCAATAATTCTCCTTAGTCACTTATTCCAACCAAAGCTATATTTTCCATACTGTAACCCAAACCATTCTAATATGGATCCCAAGTAAGGTAAAAATGTGTATTTGCATATCACAGTTATATAATAAAATGTCAATAACATTTGGCTTTTGGAGGTGTACTTACCAGTAATTTATCTCTCTGATTTATAGTTTTCTGTGTAGATTTTCTACAGTGAATATATGTTTATCAAAAAAATACAAGTACAATTATTACAGTCATCATAAAAATTAAGCCAAAACCATCAGATTCTTAAGTCCAGATGGTGATAAGCCAAATGAAGTACTCCTCAAGTGGAAGCTACTTACTGTCTTTATCTTTTTATTTTCCAGAGCCAGAAATGCCAAGTTCTTACTCATAAGAATCTCATTAATGTTTTCAAAAAAAATTTATTAAAAATTTCCAATCTTATTAGTTCAAGATCCATGGACACTGGCATCTGGATCAGTTGCACTGATGCTAAGGTAGGGAGGCTGTGCATGGCGTGGAAGAAGGACCACTTGGAATTCCTTGTCTGTTATTTCCTGGCAACTACTTCACTCCTCTGATCCTGTTATTTCTGCTCAGAAACTATGCAGGTGGACTAAATGCTATCTACTATGCTTTCATTTAAGAAATCCTAAGCTTCTGTGCATGGCTCTAAATTATGTTTTATTTACTGGAGCAGAACTGATATTCAGCATGTGCTTGGGAAGCTTAAGTAGGTTTCAAATGGCATGGTGGCAGTGACTGGTAGAGATTGAGAAATTGCCTACAAAGGCGTGGTGAGGTTTTTGAAGGGCCATACAGATTCAGTAGGAAAAAGTGTTATTATCCTGATGAGGCTGAGGTGTCTTTGAATGTTGTCTTTCAGTGTCCCTGACTATTTTATTATTGTTTCATAGCAGAGTGTACAAAATCTCTTCCCAGTAAAATAATGCAGAAAGACTTCACTAGAGTGTGCCTGTTCTTTTCCCTTATTCTTTTACTATCTCTTAATCATTGGTTACCATTGACTGGATAAGAGCTTGGCTAAATAAAAGAAAACATTTTAATGGTTGTGTAGTCACAAGTAAATTTCTTGCATGTTCCTTACACGGAGAGAGCTGTGAATTACAACTTCTAGGTAGATAGCAAATGTCCTCATAGGGGCGATCCTGAGAACGGGCAGGAGTGTCAGCGAGGTGTTTTTGCAGCCATGTTCACTTTTGCTTTTGCCACTTTCATCCACAGTATCGAACTCCAGCAGAACACTGCAAATAAAGATCAGGGTCCAGGAGAGAGATCAGAGCAACTGGAGCCAGGCAGCATCCACCACTGCCACAGCAACTCCAAGGCCACAGAGAGCAGGGCGAAGGAGCACGTGCATGCCAGGTGCAAACTGGGCGCTGCTTCGGCAATATGCCTCCTCCTCATGATCGCCGAGGTCGTGGGTAAGTACTGCCCCAGAGGACTCCTCTGACTGAATAAGCAATCAGACGTGACTGCACCCCATTATGGGAGGGTTACCTAAGTCCTCTTAAAGTAAGATTCAATATTTCCTGTAAGAATAAAGTAACAATATGCTCAGGGTAGATAAGCTGGGAGACAGAAGGAAACAAAATTCATTATTATCCCACATTCTAGTGATAACTTCCAATAACATTATGGAATATTTTGTGGAATATATTTTCCATGCATACTTCATGGCTTTTTTACATAATTGAGAGTATATTGAATGCTTTTAACTATGTTATCAAATTCTGCTCAAAAACATTTTTATGCCTGAACAATATTCTATAATATGCTCCACTGCAATTTACATAACCATTTCTCCATTGTTAGAAATTTAGAGAGATTTTTCCCCGCTTGTGGACAATACTGCAATGAAAAAGTCATGAATAAAACTCTGCCTGCCTTTCTGCTTAATCCTTTCAAAGAGATTTCTAAAGGTGGAAATAATTGGTTGAAGGACATGAATATTTTTCTTACTTCTTGAAGCATATTGTTATCCAGAAAACTGAAAATGATTTAAATGTTTTCCAGCTCTACCTAAGAGTTCTCTCTCCAAATCTCCATTAGAACTTACATAACCCTCTGAAAATCTTTGTTAATGCAAGGATGCATGTGCACTTTTTAATATTCATTTCTCTAATTATTACTATTAGAATATTCTTGCATGGCTGTTAGTTATTAGAGAAGAATATTTCTTCCTCTCATGTATCTCCGCCTTGCTTCTCTCTGTCTGTCTCTGATTGTTGTCTGTCTGTCTTTCATATGTATATTACTGGGGATCAACACAGGGGCACTCTACCACTGAAGTACCTCTCCAGCCCTCCTTTTTAAAAATTTTGAGATAGCATTCAATTAAGTTCCCCGAATGAGACTTGAATTTATGACCCGTCTATCTCAGTCTCCCTAAATTTTGGGGTTACAGGCTTGCATAACTACTCCCAGTTGTTAATGTCTGCTGTTCATTTTATTCTCTATATTGATCTCTGGAAGTTCCAGATAGGTAGGTAGATAGGTACATAGATAGACATAGATAGATAGATAGATAGATAGATAGATAGATAGATAGATAGGCAGATAGATATAAATATAGTTCTTTATATAGACAGTTCTTTATATAGACTTATAAATAAACCTTTGTTATATTATTTATAAGTACTCATAGTTTATTTTTTAATTGTTTTCACTTTAAGAAATTTTAAATTTCATATAAGCAACTGTATAAAACTTTTGAGCTTCTTTTACTACTTTTTTTAGTTTTAGTGCTTAGTAATCCTTCCTCATCCACTGAGATGATAATTGCCTGTTTTGGAAGGGTACTTGTTCAAATATTTGCACTTAATTTTAAACAATATGAAGTTAGATGTACTTTATGTTCTAAAGATTGACAATTCATGCTCTAAATGTCTAACAAAAGTTAAGCAACACTTTTGCATAATTATTTCCCCATTTATATTTGGTATGTTAAAATTATTTCTCAATCTTTTATAAATAGTGAAGTCTGATTCTAAGGTAGCACATTAATCTGGTCCTATTCTTTGTTAGTAGTGTACTTTGTAATAGTTTTAATGTCTGTTGTCTGCTCATTATTCCTTATTTAACAGAAAATAAAAGCTTTTCATTCCTGTTTACTATGCTAATTAAATATGAAAATAATTCTGTGCAGTTCTCCAAATCTAATCATGAGTTAATTTTGAACACAAGTTTTATTTATAATTTATTTCAACTATAATTTCCTTTTTGATGCTGTTTTTCCAGGTTTTTGAGTCAGGGTGATGTATGCTAAAATGAAAACCTTAAGTTTAATAATTTCCTTTTAATAAAAAAGTTATAAAACATTGTAGTTATCTTTTCCTTTGAGAAAACATTTTGTCCAACTCCTTTAGTCATTTTTATACATATGTTCTTCATTTATGTTTTACCTTCTTCCTCATTCATTGATATTCTCAGAATTTCCATTTCTTGAGAACATCCTGACCACTGATATTATCCCAAAGCCACTCATCTTATTAAGATTTTAAAATCTATTATCATATAATGGGACATGATAGCCTCACGTTGAAATTCGTTCAGTTCAAATATTTTGGAATGCAATATGCGTTTAGTTTTTCCTCAAGTGTATTTTCTAGATATTCAACAATCTGGCTGCCATGCTATTAGTATTTTTCTCCTACCATGTCCCTACATGACTACACTGTTCCAGCCAAATGTATTTATTCATTCTTTGCAAAATAATCATTGTACTTTACAGTCCTGACGGCTTCCATTTTGTTTGTTTGAGTGGGAAAATCCCTGTCCATCATTCACATTCATCAAAATCCTGGCCATCACTCCAACTCCAGCCCACAGCTCCCTGCCTTCCTAAGGCCATTCTTGATGCAATCAGAGAAAGCAACTACGGAGTCTGCCAAAAAATGTATACACACTTCAGTAGTTTGTTGTACTAATAAATGTCTGGAAGCTGATGGCCACCACTTTGAGGGCCTCTTGTAATTGTAGAAACCAAAGGTAACTTGTATGAATCTCATGACTTCTCAATAAGTTTAGTATTAAAATGTTTATACAAGTTTTTCTCTTCCTGGTGCATACAGTTTTGGCAGATTCTGTATTATTAGCATATCACTTAGGGGATCTGGGGGGCCTTTTGCTGGAATGGCCTGAATAAACAGCACACTACTAACTGCTACAGCTTGACAGGTAATAAACATCAGACCTTACCTGACAAGTAGTAAACATCCGACTTGAAAGATTTCTAGTGGGTCCATCTGAAACAGAATTTTCGAAATTTGGGTGGCAGTGTTTGTAGTAGAATGGCATTTCCTGTTCAGCAAGCTCATTCCTTCTCTTGCTCTGATTACAGTTCTGGTCTCTAGGCCTGAGGAGCTCACGCTCTGAGGCAGGACCCAGTGTGAGCTGCTACACTGAGCTAAGCAGAGCCTCTGGATCTTTGTATAGGGAAGTAGCATAAATGCTCTGTCTTTTCTCTACAACTACGGAGTGGACATGGTACAGGCCTGGAGCTTCCTGAGCCCCACATTTCTCATGGGAGAAAAGAAAGCCCATCTACAATACGAGCATGAATAGCAACAGTGGAGGCAGAATAGGGCTCTGGCATCTTCTGAGCCTTAGAGTATGGCTGTACCTGATCCAATCCCACCCAGGTTTGTTCTGATGAGGCAATACATTGTCATCTTGTTGCTGTTTAAGCAAGTTTGGGCATTGACGACATGGAAACGAAAGAGCCTATCTAAGGTCAGTGGAAGATGTGACCGAAATGGTCATTAAGAGGCAGTGAAGAAAGGTTGAGGTCCAGCTGCAGAGTCACACTGAATCTCTAGACCTTGGTGAGTCACTGACATTTAAGACAGGGGAGGGGCAGGCCACTGAGCTACGTTGGGGGAAATAACTGCCACAGAGCAGAGGGGAGGAAGAGCTAAGGAGAAAGGGATCTAAGCATCGTGAGTCCACTCTTCATGGGCCTTTGGGCCGCTGCGTTGAGACTGTTTATGCTGCTTGAGAAAATACCTCATGTAGAGGAGCGGTGGAGAGACGTACTTGTAAAATCTCACATATGTCTGTGCTGGAAGATACTGGGCATGGCCGGGGTCAGAGTGACTCAAGGATGGGGCAGACACACGATTGCTGAAGGAATGCAGAGCTGGGTGTGGGCTGGGGAAGGTGACAGCATCTGAGGGTGGAAAAATTTTCCTTTCCTAAGAGAACGATATCTGGTGGTGTGCTAACCACATATTGACAAGAGTATTTACTGTTTTCTATTACCTGGGTCTCAGTGGCTCATCCAACAAATATGTTGAGGTTCCTGGTGTTGAAAACTTAACAAATGTCAAAACATGGCTGTGAAAACTGTGATCGCTTATTGTCAGTGGTACCTCCTGCCTTCAGGATGGTTAGATAATAACCTGATGAATTTTTTGACACAACGTAGAATATGGGAGGGTATAACAATGCTGTCTGTAAGATCAAGAGATTGTTCTTTAAAAGCAAATTTACACCTTACAATGGTATAGCCTAGTAATGGGATGCCAGGCTTCTGCTATCAGAGGAGGAGCAGATGGCTCTGTTCTCATGGAACATGTCATGAGGACTTAACAGCAACTATTTGAGTTTGAGGTCATCTACTGTGGTCACCTCATCATGGGGGCTGTAGCTAGTCTGTCTCCAGGACTGAATCCTTTCTGTACCTCTACTGCCTCTTGCAAGTGCACCGTTCTGCACATCTTGCTAAGTACTTCAGAAGCACAAGTGCTACTGCCCTCCTTTGTTCATACCTTTCTCATAATTTCCTTTCGCTCTTGCCACTGCATTTTAATCTCCAGCTTCTCCCCGCTCCAGGTCATCCTACATATTCCTGGTAAAGGCTGATCTCAAATACAAACGTGAACATGTCACAACTTTGGCTCAAAATCATAACTAGGTCCCCTTGGCCCATAGAACAATATTCAACCTGAAGGGTGCCATGTTTTTTCATCTCTGCATCTTTGTGCCTGTTCTTCTTCCTTCCTGCGCTTGCCTTTTGCCTCCTTGCTAATCCTAGCTCCTCTTGTCTGTAAAAAGCTCCTCAAGGCTTTCAATGCTTTCTGGTTCCAACTCATTATTGGATCTTCAGTGCAGTGGGTGTTAGGCAGGACAGCACCTAAGAGAGAGATTGTGCTTTGCTGATCTTTATGTTCCCTGTCCCCGGTACCAGTCACAGTAAAGGCTCAGTAAGTGCCACCTGGATGATTAAATTGTCAATATACCTTATGCTTTGAGGAACAAACACAAAAGTAGCCACAAACCACCTCTTGCAACCAGTTTGCTCGATAGGATTCATCTGTAACCTCCCGTAGTTTCTGGATGGTTCTTATGAGCTGCTTTGATGGTTGCAAAATGATTCTCAGGGCCCAGGCCTCTATATTAACATGCTTCTTCCAAAGCAAGCTGTTGTTTTTCTCAGTCCCCTTTTGACTGAGCTGAGCCTGCTGAAGAATCCCTGCAAGATTTTATTTCCTTGACTTAGACTACAAGTTCAGCACAGAGCATAGAATCACCATCATTCATGACTGAGATGGCAGCACACTGCTCTTCCGTGTGTAGTCATTCTCCGGGCAAAAAATAATGCATTATTAACACAGCTTTATTATCAGGACCGAGTTTGGCAGATAGAGCAACATTAGAGGATAATTGGAAGGACAGCTGATTTGTTAGCAAAATGTTGCCTTTTGGCTAATAAATCATTCCGATTTTTGCACTGACAGCTCAGTAACAAGCTTGAAGACTACTTTGCTTCAGACCATTAAACTTTGACAAACCAGTTATTAACTCCAGCTAGAGCCAATGGTCTGTGGGGATTATTGCAATTATGAGCTATCTGTGTAATTTTTTTTAATCGTTATGCGAGACAAGGTGAGTCTGATGATGGAGGCGCTGATGATTGACAGTCACCTGCTTTGTAGCACACAGGGCGATAAACAGCTGCAGGGTGGACGAATCAGTCAGCGAAAGCTCTTTGCCGGGAAGATGTAGGGAAAGCAATAAAGGTTATTGCTCTCAGACACAGGCCCTGTTCCGGGCAGAAAGGACAAACTTTTACCTTAATTTCGGTACTGGAAGCTGGAGGGCTTTTCGGAGGAGAATTGGAGGGCTGAAAAGTGAGCAAGCCAAAAGGAGAGAGAGGCAAAGCAGGACTCACGCTGCTGGGGGTCTGTTTTTGCACTTCCTCAGACGGTTGTTGCACTCTGCGTGCCTGTTGGATGGTGTCTTCCTTTTTCCCTTTGGCCCCCACTGTTGAACTCAGGTGGGTAATATAAATCAGTAGAGCAAAAGAAAGTGTCAGGACTATGGTAAAACCACACAATGAATAATATCACACCTGCAGGTCACATTGCAGCTGTGGTTTATAGAAGATATTCTTATGCCCTGCATTTAAGGGTCATGTACCTTTTTCTCCCGGTCATGGTCTCTCCCTTGAAATCCACTGGTACGTGCTCAAATCCTATCTGGTTTGGGGCAGGGGTCTCAGTTCCTTCGTCAAACTGGAAAGAAGAGGTGGATTCAACCAACTTTAAGATCCTGTCTTTGGTGCAGTTGTGTGGGGCTGGTCCTTCACCAACTGTGGCTGGCGTGCACGCGTGTGAAGGTATCCTGGCCTTACCCCGTGTCGTGTTTCACTCCCCATAGGTGGGCACATTGCTGGGAGTCTCGCCGTCATCACGGATGCTGCCCATCTCTTAGTGGACCTGAGCAGCTTTCTGCTCAGTCTATTTTCCCTGTGGATGTCCTCAAGGCCCCCCTCCAAAAGGCTGACATTTGGGTGGCACCGAGCAGGTACAGTTCTTTGTGTAAGCAACAATGACGGGGTAGTTCTTCAGAGACAAACCAAGGGGAAAAATGGGAGGTAAACAGCAAAGCCTTATCCAAAAGAAATCCCTTAGGCGGGTATGTGGGATGCACAGGATAGAATCAATGTATTTGTGGGAATGTGTGTTCTTAATATTAACTTGGCAGGCTGCCAGATTAATGGTGCTAGCTCCTCTCCTATGGGACAGCAGAGACACGTGTACCGTTTTAGCAGCAACCCCAGCCCCAGGGTTTTGGTGTGGGGGAACAGCCATGCTAGAATTCACTAGATTACTCTGCATCCCTGGAAGAGAGAAATAAAGGTCAAGCTGCTGCCATATTGCAAAATAAGACGCAGAGCGTGCGGGAGTCAGACGCAGAGGGGTTCTTCCGCCCAGCCCGCATCTGGCCATTTCCATGATTGAAATGCAGCCTCCAGAACTCATGTTCCAATTTAGTTGCCACTGTGACAATATTAAGAGGTGGGGATTTTTAAGAGATGATGAGGTCATGAGGACTCTGTCCTCATCAATGGGCTTGTGCCATTATTATGCCGCTGATTAAAAGAATGAGCACTGCCCAGTCTCCTCTCCTCTCCTGCCCTTCTGCCGTGGAATGGTGCAGCACAGAGGCCCCTGCTGGCTGCTGGTCACTTGATCTTGGACCTTCCAGCCTCCAAAATGATGAGAAATAAATTTCTTTATAAATTAGGCTGTATATTCTATTATAGCAACACAGAAAGCATTAAGACAGCCCTGCTCAAATCAACCGTCAGTTAACCATCCACAAAAACACTGAAGAAGGAGAAGAAGGAAGGGGAGAGGGAGGAGGAAGAGGAGCAGAATAGGAGATTTCCTCTTTGTTCTTGGGAGAAGAAGAATAGCCAGCTCTTGTCTAGGAAGTGACCTGGGTCAGGCTAAAGCTTTAGTCTCTGGGAAAATTTTTATTTTGGTTCATTGGTACAACTCATGCCTCTCTCTCTGCACACACAAGAACTCCTCAGCCTCTGTCATTCCTCACCTCAGCCAGAAAAGCGTCCAGCTAAATGCTTTGTGCAAATCCTGGGAACCAATAGTTACAGTTCCATGTTTCCACACCGGTTAAGAAAATCAACATCAATGAGACTCGAGGGCAGAGCAAGGTCTGCCACAGGGGCGGCCTCCACTGACAGGTGCCGCTGGACACAGACGACGGATAGGAGACTGACAGTGTGGACCACAGGTCTTCACTTCAGAATGCCAGGAAGTTCTCATTTCCTACTAACAATCTATCACTGCAGGTGTTTTGAATTGCCTTCCTTTGGCATTCAGAGAAAGATGACACAATGAACAGCAATAAACATAATTTATGATGGAGTGATCCAGGAAACCTTTTAGTCCCATGCAGAGCTATGCTTGGAAGCCATCTGGCTTTGGTCAAACAACCATCATTTGTCTGTATAAATTTGTACATGCACTCAGTCCTTTCTGGTACCACTGAGCAGAGCTATTTTGTAAAGGTGGGATTGTTTATAAACACAGGGTGGACTCAGCTTAGATCGCTGCCGTACTTTGTCATTTTGGCCATGGAAATCCATGAAAATTGACATTCTAGAGGGCCAGGGATGCTCAGTAGAACTTTCTGTTGTGACAGAAAATATTTTACAGTACAAGTATAATGTGGTCGTTGAGAACTTTGTGGTGAGCACAACTGAACAATATGTTTTATTTTACTTAATTTCCATTTTGACAGGCACGTGATTGTTGGACACCACATTACATGGCAGCACAATAGACAATGTGAGCTCGATACACCCCCACACTGGTCTGGCAGCCTGAGAACCTTCCTCGCCTGATAGATTTCTCAGCAATCATAGTAGCATGTGTCAAAGTATCCTCATGCGTTTTTGTCTAACTAGTTACTGATTCCTGCTGCCCTATGTCTAGACCAGAGCCTTGATCTCTGCACTGGCTGTTTGAGCTTTATCTTGCTAAGCCCTGTCTCCCTATACCTCTCTAGTCATGAGTTCAGAGTGAACAATGCTCTACTTACATACCCTTATTTGGGATTGTCTGGGTAGGAAACACATTAATCGGTATCTGTAAACCCAATCCCTTTTCTAGCTAGCCAGAAATTCTTGTCTAATCCTCTTAAACTTTTACAAAGGGAGTTTTAAATTGCCTGGCTGGACTGAGAAAATAATAAATATTTCTTTAGTTTTTCTATATGTTGTATTAATTTCCCAGAGTTGCCTTAACAAAGTACTTCAAACTACATAGCTCCACTAAAAATTTATTGTCTTGTAGTTTCAGTATTTTTTTGGTACCAGGAATTGAACTCAGGACCTCTTGCTTGCCAGGCAGGTAGGTGCTTGTGCCGCTGAGCTATCTCCCTGGACCCTGTCTCATACTTTTGGAACACAGAGGTCCAGGGTCAAGGCATCAGGAAGGTCAGTTCCTTCTGCGGTCTATGAGGGAGAATCTGTTCCATACCTGTCTCCAAGATCCTAGTTGTCTGCAGGCAACGCCTGTCGACTCTTGGTTTGTAGATCTCTGCTTTAATCTCATGTTGTTTGCATGCTGTGCATGTCTGGGTGAAAATCTCCTGTAGAATAAGTCCAGCAGGTAGACAGAATTCAAGGACCCCTCTATTCTAGTATAATCCCATCCTAACTTGTCACAACTGCGAATTTCCTATTTCCAAACAAAGTGATAATAATGAGGTACTGACGTATTCAATTTTGGGGGCACACAATTCAACCCACAGCATATGCCAACTTATTTTACACATATTGCTATTATTATACCTTTCTTATAGATAAGGCACATCAGGCTCAACTAGGATAAGTTACTTGTATATAGTCTCTTGTGCCAACCAGAGGCAGATCATATGTATCTGGCATTTGAACTCAGACTCTTCACATTGGACCAGCGTTTCCCATACTGTACACAGTGTTCCACAGCTGGATAGTCAGGTGATTTTTAAGCATCACATGGGCATTCATTATACTTCCTAATACATATTAGAGAATAAAGTAGCACAACACGCTTGTGATATCATGGAGACTTTATTAAGGAAGAAGCTAAGTGCAAAAAATGACTTTATGTGAAGAAAAGATGAGGTGTTTAATAAGGCAATGTCATGAGGACACGGAAGAATCATGAAAGTTGTACGCCAGTGATTGAAGTCTGGGCAACAATGGCCACACACAGGCTGACACTATATTACTCTGCTTTAGAGGAGACTGGTATTCATTCGAAGGGAATAAGAACATCATGGAATGTGCCTGACTTAGTCATGCACAAAATATTTCTATTTCTGCCCTGGTTTTTGGAAGAGTTAAAGATCAGCGTGAGGTGTTACAGATCTCCCGCTGAGCAAAGGTATTTTCCCCCAAGGGCCAATTGAGCACTATCTTATCTTCAAATATTAATGTAAATGTCTCCATCCTGATGCTTCTCTCCCTGGCAGTTGCTCTTAAAAGGCAGTTAGAGCGTTGATGAGCCTCCAAGCTCGGCCTCAGTGTTTACAGTATGTCGGGTTGGCAAATGGAACTCGTTTTCATCAAGTACCACTGAAGGAGCTGGTACTGGCAAGTCGTAAATGTTTTATGATGAAATTAAGAGTTTCTAAACATATTTTACTCGTCGTGTCTCATTACTTCGTCTCCTAATAAGTTTTGACCATTTGAGCACCTGTTTAAATTACTATCCCTGAGGAAAACAGTGAGGGCAGCAATGAATATGTTCTAAAAACTGGCTTGAAATTACTTAGTAACATGGAGCATAATGAATTCAAACGCTGGTGTTTTATGAATGCGAGAGGCAAGGCCCTCATCTCAGTGCTAAAATCCACTCACACTTGCCTCGTGCATCACTGTGTAAACTAGTCTGCAGTCACGTGTTTTGGGGGAGGAAAGCAGAGAGTATTGTCATGTCTGAGAAGGAGGTGAGGGGTGGTGTGGTCCATGTCAGGGTGTCCTTGCGTGTTTGAAACTACAGAGATCCTTGGTGCCCTGCTGTCTATCCTCTGCATCTGGGTGATGACCGGGGTGCTGATGTACCTGGTGAGTGAGCGCCTGCTGCACCCTGACTACCAGATCCAGGCCACCTTGATGATCATTGTTTCTGGGTGTGCAGTGCTGGCCAGTGCTGTGTAAGTCACCCCCACACTGAATGCCCTGTGGCTTATCTCCAACTCTGTCTGCACAAGTAATTATAATTTTAATTCCTCTACTTGTGAAGATGGTACAGATCTGATGGTACAGTGCATGCATTCTTCTAAGATTGAAAATAGTGTTGATGACCCTACACTAATGGGTTTTAAAACATTGGCTTCTCCTAGGTACCACTTTCAAAAGCTTCCAATGTGCTAGAGCTTAGGGTAGTAGTATCTTTGGACATACACAATAAAGTTTATAACAACCGAACCTCACAGATTAGGAAACAGCTTTCGTGAGTTTACGGACATTACCAGTGAAGTTGTCCAAAGCTGGGATTCAAATGCAGATCCTCAGACCCAGAATCAGCTCCTGGCAATTCGCTGGCTACTGCATGCTGATGGTTGCATACAGCGTGAGACCTTTTCCCGTTCAGTTTTTGTTACATGAGCGGTTAGGAGTTCCCAGAGACCTGAGTTGGAAGGGATTTTAAAGTCCATTTATTTCAGTCCCCTTTCTACTTTAGCATTCCTTTTTGCAATTTTGCCATAAAATGTTCATGAGTTTTATACATTTTAAAAGAATGAATAGCAGAGAATTAAATAGTCTATTTTATCTTTTTGCATCATTGTAACTACACAACAATTCTTCTTCAACTGTGTTAACTAAGCTCTCTTTTGTTTTTCACCTGTTGATCTCTCATTGAGGCAATCTTAAATCAATCTTATTGGAAATGATGATTGGGGGTCCCTTGCCATATAGTTTCACTGTTTCCAAAATGAACTAATTCATTGCTCATGACAATATACTTTTGAGGTCAAGGCATTGATGCATTTGGGTCAGTTTTCTCCTTTTTTGATAATCTGATTATTACAAATTTTACTTAAGATTCCTATCTCTCTCTCTATCTCTCTATCACCTATCTATTTTTCACTTATTTATCCACCTTGCCATTAAATGTGGCACACAAAATAATTATCCAATCCAAAGGTTTCTACATCCTCGTCCTTGGAACTTCTGAATATGGGAACTTCCCATAGGAAAAAGAATTTTACAAGTGTGATTAAGGATTTTAACATGGGGAGGCTGTTGTGGGCTTTCCAGGTGGGCCCACATATCCACAAGGGTGCTGAAAGGAAAACGCAGGAGGTCAGAGGGAGAGAAGATCCCATGCTGCGGGCACTGGGGTGGAGGGAGAGGCCTGGAGCCATAGAATGTGCATGGCCCATAGAAGCAGGAGGTGACAAAATGGGTTCTCAGAGCCTCCTGAATGAATACAGTCTGAGAAATCTACTTGAGACTTCTGACCTACAGAACTCTAAGATAATAAAATTATGTTGTGTTAAGGTGGTAATTTATCATATCAGTAAAAGGAAATCACATACAAGTTAAACATCCCTAATCCAAAAATCTCCAATCTGAAATGTTCTGAATTCAGAAAATTTTCACTATCAATGTAATACCCAAAGTTGTAGTTGCTGCACAGTTTGGATTTTCAGAGTAGGGATGTATAACTAGTAAAGTCTATGCAAGTATTCCAAAACCTGACAACCACCAAAATCTGAAACACAATTGCTACCAACCATTGAAATGAGGTAATTGACTGGCACCACCTACTTACCGTCTGCCTACTTGTGACACAGCTTGCTGCATGCTATGAGGTAGGTTTTTACATGAGAATGAAGCAGACCATGATAGAAGAATGGTGCTTTAATCAGTGGGTCACAAGAGAGGCATAAGGCAGTCTCTGGAATCAGAGGTCAAATCTGGGCATGTGCAGGTTGAAAGCACTCCCTCAGGTCATTTAAAGAGTCTTCCTTTTGATGCTTCAGTTCCCACCTCTCACTTTGTGAACTATTGCTCAAAGTCTCCCAGCTAAACAATTAAAAGAATGTTGTCTGATCTGCCGTCAAAGACTAGGTGTTATCTCCTACCAGTTAACTTGAAACTGTACTTCCTATCAGCAATGGAAGAAAAGGTATGGGCAGATCAATGCAAATCTATCACCTTTAGGAGATAAACATTCCAGCGCACATACCCTGCTAACTGGTGGGTCAATACCAACATCTTTTCATAAGGAGAACAGTATGTCCTCAAAGCAGCAGGAAGAATGAAGATATTAATTATTCCCTGGGAGTCACATGGGTTGTGTTGATGCTACACAAAGCCAAAGGATATACCTAGCCAACTACCACATCAACCTGGGACCTTAACGATGGAATTTGACTTTCAAAACAGATACGATCCAGATGTTCTTTTTACTGCAACTGCTTTTGAGCACTGACCTTAGCATTGCAAGTACTTTCCATTCCTAGACAGACAAGGGCATTGAAAAGCGCTGCTTCCCTGTGCAAGCTGACAGTTATGTATGGATAAAGGTGCTGAGTGACCGTTATGTTTCCCCCAAGAACTGGGGTTACAGGTTTCAAGTGATACTAGATGCTCTGTTGTCTGAATATAGAGATATCAGAACTCAAACTTGGGAATAAGTCTATTTCTTGGGGCCCCCAAACCAGGGCAGAAAGTTCCAGTAGAAGTCATGCAGGGATTCTGTGGTGAGGTTGTAGACTGAGCCTTCAGACTATTGCAGGCTAAGCTTTTCTGCCTGAAATGTTCCCTCTTCTCATGCTATTTAACTCTAGAATAACCTTTTAGGTTTGCTGAGGTACTGTATCTCTCTAAATACATTCGATTTTTCTCTTGGTACTATCCATAGCACCAGTTCTTAGTAGACATATTGTAATTAGAAACTTCTGTGTGTGTGTGTGTGTGTGTGTGTGTGTGTCTGAAAGAGAGAGAGACAGAGACAGAGACAGACAGAGAGAGAGAGAGAGAGAGAGAGAGAGAGAGAGAGAGAGAGAGAGAGAGGGATCATGTCCTCATCAGAGAGGGGCCACAATGACTCACCTTTTTGGCCTGAGCATTTAACAGAGCCTGACATGTGAGTTCGCAACTGCACTTCCCTCTTTTTAAATGGAATGAGCAACGTAAGAGTGAATGACAATGTGATGAGCACAAACAGTAGATATGAACAAACCTGTTTCCTGCCAGTCATAGTAGCTGCCTAGAGAACCTTGAATGGAAACTCATAGTTAAGAGTGAATTGCTTCCTAAGCACTGACATTCACATTGTGCGTTCTGTGATGCTTAAATCTTTTTTTTTTTTTTTGTCTTCTTGAGACAGGGTTTCACTATGCAGTTCAAGCTGGCCTTGAACTCACTTGACACCCAGGCGGGCCTCAAACTTACAGTGATTCTCCTGCCTCAGCCTCCTGAGTTCTGGGATTACAGGTGTGTGCCACCACACCAGGCCTGCTTAAATCTTGGCAGACAGCGGTCATTCCACTTTGTGGAGAAGGCCTGAGATTTATCAAACACTTCATGTATGAAAGACTGAGTTGTGGTGTCCCAAACAATAAACTTAGGGTTTTTTTTTTTTTTAAAGTTCTTGTTCCCAAATGTTCAGAGAAGGTTCCTAGGTAAAATGCTGTTTGTTATCCATCCATGAAGCAGCTCTCATTTTACCTTCATTCTACTACCTCTTTAAGCAATGGAGAAATAAAAATCGGGTGCATCATTTTCAGTGCCTTCCACTATATCACTGTGACAAGAGATGCCACACTTTGCAATATGGCGCACATGTCCATGTATACACACACGGACTTTGACAGTACATCAGTGTACTCTGTTTGTGGAGACATTAACTACACCTAGTAGGCATATTACTCCTATCACTGGCCACTAGCAAGTTATTCCCATTTCAAATACTCATGGAAATTAACAAAATTAAGTAAAATAAAAGATTTTAAACCCCATTGATGATGAAATTCACCACTTCTTATTTTATTTTGTTCCTGTCTGCTGCTTTTTACATTTGGAACCAGTATACTTAGTCAAATTCTACCAAAGCTTGGCATTAAGTCTAACAGAGTGCCTAGTATTTAGCAGATGAATGATATTGCCTCTTTATTATCAAATGCTTGATTTTCATCAGAGAAATTATATTTTCCCAACTTTCGTGTGACATAGAATAGCGGTAGGTGGATGAATGAGAGAACTGCGGTGAAGTTTTATAGTTTGTCCTGTGGGAAAATTTTTAAATTCTAGGATACACTTCTGTTCACAATTAGTCCAAAAGAGCACATTTTTAAAGCATAAATATTTTAACTACCTTTCCTTTTGGATACCTTGTGCCTTTGCCAACTTCTTCATTGTGCTATGTAGGTTCTTAAGGGTTAATCTTGTGTGTGCAAAAGCATTGCTCTCTCTTTCAGAATAAGTGTGCTTTTGCATCAGGGATGCCTTGGCTATAATCACAAGGAAGTGCAAGCTAATGCCAGTGTCAGAGCAGCTTTTGTGCACACCCTTGGTGATGTGTTCCAGAGCGTCAGTGTGCTAATCAACGCCCTTATCATCCACTTTAAGGTGAGTGGATTAAATGTTCCCAGCATCATCATGGTTATATTGATTAGGTAGTACAGAAGCAGGCCCTCCACATTATCAATATACCAGCCTATGTTTACCTACACAAATTACTTTGCAAGACTAAAAGACACTCAAAGTTTGAAATCTTAGTCTTTCCCAAATTCCTAAGAGATGTGTAACTATTAGGCTGCCAGTCTTTCAAGAAAATAGCTGCTTTGTTGTGGTGTTAAGATAGACAGCAATGCAATGGAGAATACCTTAGGGTTTTTACACCATAAACAACAGGAAAGATCTCTGCCTCACTTAAGCAAAAAACACACTTATTGGCTGAAATTTATTGAATGTACTTCAGGACAGAAATTAAATTAGAAATAAGGAGGAACTTTGGTATCCAGTTTTCAGAAACCAATTTCTGTCCTGGGCACCATGCTGAAATAAATGTCACTCCACCATTTCTTTCCCTGTTCTTATCATTGCTGAAGATTCATGTTTCTGGGACAGAAAGTCCAACTGACCTAGCTAGAGTCTTGCAACTGACCTGCTCTTGGTTGGGGGAGGGTAGAATATCTCTTTTCACTGTCTAGTCTGTATTCGCCACAAGCCAGAGGTACTTAGACCTAACAGAGCTAGACTGAGGGGAGGCACAGAAAGAGAAGAGTATTTAGATCTGTCTTTTTGCATCATGATTGTTCAAATCATAGGGACTTATTTTCACTATTTTTCCTCAAGTGTGGAAGCAAGCAAGTAAAAATTACAGTGACACATATGAATACAGCTGAGCAAAATGCTCACTGAAAGCTTCAAGTTTAAGGCAAAAATACTTGAAAATTTAAGCACTAGTGGCAAGTTAGTGTCCCTTACAAAGTCTAGGTTGAATGCTGAGTTTCTCAGGGGAAGTGCGGCATGGACTTTTCCATGGCATTGAACTTCAGCAAGGGCAGAAAGGTATGTATTTCACCCTGAAACTAGCAGTTCCAGTAGAGGGGTGGAGCAAGAATGACATCTTGTTTTAAACCTTTAGGAAAGCATGACAGATGCCTGTATTGAGCATGTGTCATACTGGAGAGGGAAAGAAATAAACCAATCCCAGTCGGCCAAGACCAAGGGTGGACTGAAAATTGGACAGGTGGAAGCTCTGAATAAATGATACCTTTCTGCTCCTCATCATAATTAAGGTGGAAATATCACCTTATCATGTAGGCATCTTTGTGCATAGTTTCCTTACACCTTCTGTACTTTTACTAATTTGAGAGAAGTTAAATCAGGCCTTTTGAGGGAACACTTAACAATACTTCCCATCTTAGTTCTGAAGTTATGGGGTGAATGACTCCACTAGTCTTCTGTTCTTTAGTCTTTATTTAGGTAATTAATATTATACAAAGAAAAACTGAGTCTGCAGGAAGGACCTCTTGACAATCTCTTTCATTTGGAAGCCAAATATCAGGAGAGTAAGGGATAACAGAAAAGGATGGAAACACAGAGGTTTATTTATCTTCTTACTCGTGATTTCCTCAAGGGAAGTATGAATTTTCGATTGAACAAAGGTGCTGTGTTTTCCAGCCAGACTACAAAATTGCGGACCCAATCTGCACGTTTGTCTTTTCCATCCTGGTTTTGGGCAGCACTATGACAGTATAAAGGACTTTACCATCTTACTCATGGAAGGTAGGAGAGATTTTCAGTATTATTCCTGGGATTAATTTTTTTTTTTCTGTAACCACAAAAGGGGATGGCTGAAAAGCAGGCTCACTGTAAATCTGTATTATACGGAAGTTTTAAACTGATAAGGAATTTTTATGATGGCAAATATTTGATTTCTACTTACATGGCAACAAATAAATAGGTGTGGTTTCTATTTTGTACCACTAGCAAATGGTAAATGATATCCAATTGTTAAATGATATCCACTGTACAAACCAGCAAGTACAAACAATAGCTGTAACATGGGGGTGAGACTGCACAAAGGCAAATGCACTCCTGAATATCCCTGGAAAAGCCCTAACAAAGACAGTAAAAACCTATCTCCCAAGCAGCATGATAGTTGAACAGTTGAGCCTAATTGTGGCTGATAGTACAAGAACATCAGGGTGACCTTTACCTGTTTTCCCAGCAAGTGCTGGCTGAGCTCTGACTGTTAGCTGGTATTCTTAAAGCTAGAGTTACTGAGAGGAACAAATAGAGACTCTCTCTGCCCTCATGGGAGAAAGACTATTTAGATAATTACACAGAAATAGAACTTTTAGCACTACCAAGAAGCAGTGTGGGGATTTTAACATGGCCAGGGAATAGGGGCTGAAGGCCACAGAGGCTCAGGGAAGAAGGGGTGCTTTTGGGCTCACTCTTAATCCAAAATAGGATCTCATGCTTATTAACCTTGTTCCCTACAACCAGAGTCCAGCCCCGACAGTTCCTCTGGCTTGTTTGACTCTGAGTTTTCCAATTAATCAGGAATAGATGACAGGAATAGCTCTCATTGTCAAGGAATTCTTTCTTATATCCAAAGTTGGGTTGCGTCTTCTCTCCCCATTATTCAGTTTGGTAATTTTCTTTTCACTTGGCATAGAGTAGCTGAGGAACCGCTGGTTTCCCTGCTCTTTCTGGGACACATCTTTACAGCAAAATTAACTCCAAGACACGTACTGTGTGGTTGTAAAATCAAGGTCTTTGTTTCAGACAAACCGCACTTCAAATTTTAGTCGTGCAAATTTCTAGCTGTGGGACCTTAGCCTTAGACAGACACTTAACTCCTCTGAACTTCAGCTTTCTCAACTGAAATCTAGGAATACTGTATCCGCCTTGCTGTGCTGTTGAGAAGATTAGATCAGATAGGCAGCATAATGTATGGAACATGATTGAAACTCAGGAAATGCCACTTCTCAGCTAGCTCTTTTAGTTGACCAGAACATAGGAAATATAAAAGTAGCTGTAGAGTTGGTCATCAAACTACACATCAATCCTCATATCAAGAAATTCCCAATTTTGGAACATTTCAGACTTTGGATTTTGTTTTGGATCATGTTGGCACTCAAAAGGGTTTTGGGTTTGAAGCCATTAAAATTTTGTATTTTTGGACTGAGATGCTTAACCTGCATTGAAGTGGATCAGAGACATAGGCACTTGACTATATTTTCAAGGTGACCCTTTGTCATTCTATTGTCCATTTGCAATTAACACAAATATTGCATTTTCTATTCTATGTATCAGGAAAACAGATATTATGAAAAACTTGCCTAAAACCCTTGTTGGCCTAAGCCAGCAGTTTCCAAACTTTGGAGATGTCAGAATCACTTGAAGCATTTGCTAAAACACAGATTGCTGGGCCAAGCCCCGCAGTTCCTGAGTCAACAGGTTATTGTAGGGAAGAGAATTTGAATTTCAAGTAAGATTCTGCTGCTGCTGCTGCTGCTGCTGGTCCAGGGACCACACTTTGAGAACCACTGGACTAATCTTTTCCTATCACTTAAGGGATTCCCTACATGGTGACTCTGGGAATATCAGTCAAAACCATTACATCATCATGCTTCCAGATGATAGAAAACATTCAATAGTGCCTCAACTGTTCTCCGTCAAGAGTATTTGACCATGTGATACACAGCCTAGAGTACAGTCTCTTTTGGTGACTTGACTGAGTACACATTTCAGGATTTGTTCTTGGTGGCCACTATAATTATTGATAGATGACATGCACTATCCACTTCCCAAAATGAGTAACAAGCAAGATTTCCAGCTGTGAACATAAGTCTGGTTCTGTCAAGTCACCAGTGTATCCATTTTCTTTTCTGAAGTCCAAGGGCTAAGGTGCAGCTGTTGGTGCTCTTATGGAAATTATCAATTTAAAGAGCAACAAGAGAAAGTTGGTGTACAGTTTGAGATGACTATATCCCACTTTACCTGTAGCTCTTCCCTAACAATTATGCTTCTTCATATATTGAAGAAAAACTACAGAGACTGGGCTAGCTAATTATTGAACTAGCAGGTAACTCTTTTCTGGAAGATAATTTTTAAATTATGTTAGTATGAAATAATTCTTACATGACATTTTATAAATAATGCTGTAAAGTATGAACTAATATAAAATTCTCCTATATGACCACCTCTGAATTTTCGGTCCCATTCTTCAGGATTATGTCCACTAATGAGATGACACAATTTTTCCAAAAATATTTATACATTTATAAATGTGTAATATATGTGCATTTGTGTCTTCTTTATAAAATGGAAGTACACATTGATACCTAGTCCTGCATCTTCTTATTTATAACTTGGTTCATCCAACCACATATTTAAATACATCACACTCCTCGTCCTGGTCCCAATTGCTCCACTGTGTATGGATGCACTTGCTTATTATGGACATGACAAATAGTGTAATTGTGTATGTATATTACATTTACATATATACACAATTGCACATATGTATTTAATACCCGTATATCTATGGAGTAGTTCCTAACCACTGTATCGAATTTCAAAAATTGTGTGCATTATAAAATTTAGATAGATATTGCCATTTCTACCAAAGATAACATGCTGGTTTCTTTTCCCCTAGTAGTGTGTTTGAATGTTCATTTCCTAACATCCTTGTTTCCATTGGCTATAATCAAATTATGATTCTTTTATAATCTGATGGTGATATACTATATTTTATTGATGAGCCCATATAGTTCTTAGGGCTATTTAATGAATTAAGTACTACAAATTAAATGTTTAGCGCAAACTTTACACATAGTGGAACATCAATAGAGATGTGTTATTACTATTATTGTTAAAATATAACAATTTTATTCAGGACTTTATATTCAACCTATGATTAATGTGAGACAATCAGATTCCTTTAATCTGCTCCTAGTACCCTGCGCTCTTTGCTTCTCATAAAGTAAAAAATTATATTGGCCAGCTCTTTGTTTAGTGAAGCGAAGCTGAACTTTAACTATATAATCTCTTAAGTCATCCTTAGGCAAGAAGTAAATCCAATGAGTTAAATTTCTTAAACACTGAAAAATGAGGGTTAAGGTTTCCTTATTTCTTTGTGTAAGTGGATCTTGGCTCTAGATGTGCATTGCAATCATTGTATTTAAAAAGTACCTATGCCCACGCCTTCCACAGCCAGAGATCTAGATTTAATTGTCTGGGGTCTGGACAGCTTCGCTGTGTTGTACACGTAACCAGCCTTGAGAACACGCAAGGTAGAGTTGTTTAGGCAATTCATCAATGTTAGTGCAGTGTGAGCTCTTATACTAAGCGGGTTTTGGTTTTACTCTTTCAGCTTTTCCCTCTGGAACTAGCCAGAGCCACTGTCCTTCTACATTCACATTCTCCCATCTTCTATGTGGCAAACCATGCAACTTTGAAAAGAATGAGCACCCATCCTTTAGCCTTCTCTTCTCCAGGCTGGAGACACCTACTTCCTTCAGCCCCCAGGAACACTTTAGTCATCAGACCCTATTCTCGCACAACCCGCAGTGTTCCTGTAGAAAAAAGCATGGTAGCCACACTGTTCAGTTTTGCAGCTCAGACACTGAATGCTGACTAATGTAGCTAAAATGACAGAAAATTTACAAACCGAATAATGAAATGGCCTTACAATGTCAGGGTCACCTATTAACACAGCTCGTTAAGTGACCTGTTGGATCGTCAACATTTGTATCCCATCATAATTTTAAAAGAACAAATACCTTGTGAGTTGCTCCTCTAAACAATTCTGTGTTCTACATGTTGTTCCTGTCCCTCTTATTTTACTACAAATATGCTGAACATCAGAGAAGTTTCACAGTTTGGGCAAATTCAGAATCACTGGAGGAGAATACAGAACGCTAACCTGGGATTTATTGGTACCAAATCCCTGCTGTTTCATTTTGCTTTCAGAGTGTATGTGAAGACAATTAGGAAAGCACCATTAGTTTACTAATATACCCTAAAAAGTAGGACTGAGTGCTGCTGTTGGCTACTGCACAGTCAGTTCTGAAACTATTCTGTGTGAGAATTTTTGACTGATGGAAATCCTTTGACAAAGATTGGCTCCAGCTGAATAACTGCAGCCTCCCATTCCTTCCTGCGTCAGGGGCACCCAAGGGCCTGCATTACAACAGTGTGAGAGAGCTCATCTTAGCAGTCAACGGCATGGCTTCTGTGCTCAGCCTGCACATCTGGTCTCTGACAATGCACCAAGTGATTCTCTCAGTGCACGTTGCTACAGGTCAGGGAGCTCTGTAAACGCCCCGCACAATATTCAGTCCGAGTCCTGTAAAGCCCGTAATTATGCTTCTCTTTGTCGAGCCTCTGTTAGTGTCTAGTGCCCATCAAAACAACTGTAAAGTGTTTTGCACTGCCAAGGGCCTTGGAAAACCAACCTGCTTATCGGTATTGTCATAGCAACAGGGATACGGATGACATCCTTGAAGGTGACTATGGAGGGAAGAAGAAGAAAGGGGAGACACAGTATAGAGTACATGCCCCCCCCAATTTAAGGCCTCAGGCTCTGCATGCTTTGGGCGTGGTGCCCTATCAGTCACAATTGTAGAAATGAATTAAACAAGAAATTTTGATTATTTCTTGTGTGTAGCACATTTTGCCTGACACTGGACGATAGAAAGAGGAAGGAGACACAGATCCACCGATAGCTTGTAGCAAGCTAACAGATGTGCCTGTAGGAATTACGATAGGCTCTCTGCTGGATGATGAAGAATTCTGTGATCACGTGAAATGATTTTTAAGATATTGGGTTTTTACTACAGCTACTTTTTCCTAGTGGAATGTGATTTTGTTTCTGACATGTCCTAGCACTGGGAGATATATGAAGTGGGAGGTCTTTCACTGCCTCTAGAGAGAGCAAAAGCCGAGGATGATCTGTTAGGCTGCTTAAAAGTGACTCAAAGAGTTACTCTGAGGCAGGGGATGGGGACCTCAGCCACAGTCATTTGAGAGCTGAGCTTTCTCAGGCATCCTCTTCTCTGAGGGGCTCAGGTTGGGCTTCAGGGAACTGGCAGGATTCTGTACCCCAATATTTCTTCACAAAGGCGAGAATATAATAAACAATCAGGTCACTGTGGAGGGGACTGTACAGCCTCCTGATACCACTTGAGACAGAAAAAAAGATGGCAGAGAGGGTTGTGGCTCTAACAAAGGTCTGCCGGGAGCTCTAAATGCTTCCTGGTCCCTGTCACTTGCCTTGATATAAATTCTAATTAAATCCAAGGGCTGCAACCCAGAGATCCCGAGGGCTGGTGAGCTGGGCTGTGCATGAAACATTCATTGTGTCTCAGGTATTTCTCAGGCTTTTTTCTCCTTCCATACACAGCTCCTAGGAGTGCAGGGATCTAAAGCTAGTGGTAGCCAGGCAGAGCTCCTATAGCGATGCCCCCCCAACCTTGTCTGTGTGACCAAGCTGACTGTCCAAGCAAAGTGGCTTCTGAGAACTCTGCCTCTTCCCATCCCACCAGACCCAAGACAGAGCACTTGAACCTAAGGCCCTCACTGTGCCATTGTAGGAGATCCATGCTAATCCCTTCGTGGTTCTTTACCAACAGTGGCCGGCTGGGACAGCCACATTGTTCGGAGAGGGGTGGCCAGAGCCCTCAGCAACAGTCTCACCGTGCACTCCCTCACCATTCAGATGGAGTCCCCAGCCGACCAGGACCCCAATTGCCTTTTCTGTGAAGACCCCCAGGACTAGTGTGGCAACAGTCAGCTCCCTGCATGTGATGGGCTACAGCACGAAGCTAAGCAGTCCCTGGACATCAGAAATAACAACCAGAGAAGAAATGTGAGAAAGTCATGATACGGTGCAATGCACATCTTATGCTTCTTTATTTAGCTCTCTCCACCATGAATGAAGATGCATTTAGTTTCATCAGTCAACTGGATTGTACATTCACCAGTAGCTGTGTTCTATTACAGGAACATATGTGTAGGTTACCCCTAACTCGGGTTGAAATAACTGCTGTTTGTAAGCACATGCTATAGAAGATTCCTGGAAGTGAGTGAGAAAGGAACATCCTATCAGGAATCAGTGGTAGAAACAAATACTCATATAAAAATTCTCCAAATGTGAAGAACATATATAGGAGAAACCTCACCAGGGATAAAAGAATCTGAAGTTGTTAGAAACTGACCCTTGCACAACTCTTAAGCAACACCTTCTGGTTCCTATCAATATCACTGTTCAGTAAGTAGGGCAGAAACTCTCTCTCTCAACCTTCCTGGCCAAGTATGTTCTTACATGTTTGAAAGTATTGGATCATATTTTATTTTTCTACATAAAATCTCGGGCAAAAGAAAGATTATGAAATTGCTGCTGTTTGGATGTATGCCTAGAGTATAACTTCATAATTCAGGAAATATAGAGGCTCAAAGAGGCACCCTACTTATCCCAGGCCACACAGAAAGTAATTCAGTTAAAATTAAGATTTAAAATGCTCTGGGTTTTAATAATGTTTGTGGAGCACTAACTCCTGTGCAGTTATTGTACTCAGCTATTAAGCTTCACTTCACTTCATTTCATTCCAACAATAACTTTGTGAGGTTGGAGTTAATACCTTTGTTGTACAGATAGGATATAAACCTCAAAGAGGTTCAATAATTTAACCAATGCTCTTTAATCATTCTTTTAGAAATCTTTTTGAGGGTGGTTGTGGTCCTCACATCTGGAGAATATTTTAGTTTCTTGTCTCTACAACTGAATTCCATAGACAGATTAACTTAAAAAGGAAAGAGGTTTATTTGGCTCATGGATTTGAAGACTGGATAGTTCAAAATCAGGAGGGTGCATCTGATGAGGTTTTTCTTGCTAGTGAGAGAAGGGCAGAAAATCATAGGATGAGAATGACTGAGCTCCCTGGATGCTTTTCTTATAAAGCCACTGCCCCACTGGATTAGGGCCCCACATTTGTGGCCTCATTTAACCTTGTCTAAAGGTCCCAATCCAAATACCCCAGTCAGATTAAATTTCTACCCTCTGAATACCTACTGGCGGGTATTCACCTTCAGCATGAGTAAACTCCAACATGAGTTTTTGTAAGGCTTGTTATGGTTCAGATCTAAATTGTCCTCCAAAGCCTCATGCACCCATAAGTGGGGCGTTTGGATGGTGACTGGATCATGGAGATGCTGTGCTCATTAGTGGATTAGAGCACTGACATCTTTATACCAAAATGGGATGAGAGGAGGTGGAGCCTGGTAGGAGGGGGTGGATCACTGGGGGCGTGGCCTGGAAGGATCTGTTTCCCTCCCTTCACCCTGTCTCTGCTTCCTGACTGCCATGAACTCAGCACCTCTCCTCCGCCCGGCCCCTCTGCCATGCTGCCCTGCTTTGGACTCAGCTGACACAGACTGAAACTACTACAAACCATGAACCAAAATAAATTTTTCCTCTTTTAAGTTGTGGGTGTTGGGTATCGTATTTCAGTGATCAGAACAGTGACTAAGACCAGGCCATTCCAAGGACAGGAGTGAACCCAGCCAACATGGCTTTTGCCTTCCTGGAGCTCTTTCTCTTTTTGGCAGAGAATGGATAATGTACTCGAGAATACACTACAACAAGTGCACCAAGTGATATAAATAAGGAATGATTGATTTAGAATGAGGGAGGTTCACCAATAAATTCTTTCTGAGGAAACAGTACCTGTACTGAAATGAGAAGAAAAAGTAGGTACTAGCCAAGTGAACTGTGGGAAGAACCATATTCTAGAAGCAAGGAAATGAATGAAAAACCTAAAGAACTGATGCATTTGAGTACCTGATGAAGGCCCTTGTGTCAAAGTGTGTGCAAAGTAAGGGTTGAGTTAAAATACACAAAGGACATAAACCAGGAGAGAGAAACAAGGCCAAGGGAGAAAGGAACTGAGTCAGGTCTGTTTTATCCTAACCTATCCATACTCTCTCTGTGAATACTTTTGTTTTTGGCCAAGGAATCTGTGTTGACAACCAGTCATTATTCTGGAAGTGCAATCAAGAGGCAAGTCTGCCTTCCTCAAAAGAATGAGATGAATAAAATGTTGAGTTTAGAAACATAGCAGTGGAAGTGCTTCCTTGATGCATCCTGTCTGTCATGGACAAATGGTGCTGTTTCTGAGCAGCATTCATCACAAAAGTCTGGCTAAGGAAAGGGCAAACCTGAACTAATTGCGACAGTTTTGGGCTGAGCTGCCTGAAGACCTTCAACCAGGCAGCTGGGTCACTCCACTGGCAATGGTGCTAAGAAACAGGGAAGTTGCCTGGGAAAATAGGGATGTGGTGGGGGAATGACCACGAGGGAGAATCAGAAAATGTGGTTTCTATCACTGTCTGCTTCCTTCCAGACCTCTAACCTTGAACTCATTTTCAACATTTCTGGGTTTCCAATCCTCATCTGAAAATAGGGATTCTGTTTTCACATGGGATTTTTATCAGAATTACCTGGGACAATAAACATAAAGAACAGGTTCTTCGTGTAGTAAACGGAGTGCTCCCCAGATGTCCCCTCCAGCACAGGGTTTCTTGAGCTCTGCGTTATTCCTATTTGGGTCCACATCAGTCTGTGATGTGGACAGTTGTCCTGTGCATTGCAGGCTGATTAGCAGCCTTCCTGGGCTCTACCCACCACCTACCAGTTGCACTCCCCACTCCTGGCTGTAACAACCACACACAGGCGCGCGCGCACGCACGCGCACGCACACACAGAGGCACATGACCTACAGGCTGTTACAGGAGAATAAAGTTGGCTCATGGAGATTTGGAGCTTGAACGGCTGCCTTTAATCAAGAAGCCAGAGGATAAGGAGAGGTAACTTGTGGCTGTTCCTTTCCTGCTGGGTCCACTTCTGCCCACACACATTAGCTGGAGTCAATTTTAAATATGGTGTGTCTGAGACTAGGACATTTCACTGGGCTAAGTTTTACTACTCTGTAGAATCTGTGTCTTTTGAAGCCAGGAACCCCTGCTGCCATGTTTTTCTTTCTTGGCCTATTGACAAGTGAACTAGGTAGACCGTTTCTCTGAGAGCCAGGCCCAGGCATGGTTCTCTTCTTTCCGACTCCTGTGGGCCCAGAGTCGAGGAGGTAAATTAGATGAAGGTTTTCTCTGTAGACCTGCCTAACCATCCTTCTCTCTCATTCCTTGTCTGGCAGGGAAGATTGAATGGACTGCTCTTAAGATTTCAGTTTAAATAATAGAAAAGAAATGGATGGCTCACTGCAGGCTTCAGCCTGAGTGTGCTCTGAAGCCATGAGACATTTCACTGGGTTATTGAATCCTGACCCAGATATTAATCAAGTAGAATTTTGATTTGCATTAGGTTATTATTCTTTGGGCTACTTCTCCCAGGTCCCCTATGGGGAAGGAGGGCACATGGCAAGCCAGGATTCTGTCCTTGTGAGTCCTTGACCACGTAGTACCATCTTACTGGTCTCTAAACCTCAGCTCTTACCTCTAATCAGGAGAAAGAGCTGTTTAAGCAAGGAAATAAGAAGTTCCATTTTCAATATGTTAATTTTGATGGTGCAAATGCCCATCAAGTGGCCAGAAATTTGGTCATAGATCTCAGACTAGATAATTCTTGAGTTTTTTTTCCCTAAACTGAATTTGGACATATGCCAGAATATGCAGGGAGTCCCTTTAAAATTAATCTTCATTTCTTTGTCCTATTTTTGGAATAAATCCCGTCTGCTTTGAAATTTTAACTTATTTATTAACAAGTTATTGATTTATTATTAAAATTTCATAAAGCCACTGTTCAAAAGAAAGTATTCCTACGTACAGGGTTTAAACTCTGGAACTCACCAAAGAACGTGGCTATAGGAGGTCAGAGATTATCAAGAAGGTAATACAGAAACATTTGGGTTAACCCTTCAAGTTGGTGTCACTGTACTCAACCCAAGAGGAACAATAAAACAGATACAATTAATTGATTCAGTCCACCAGCTTGACCTGAGCACCTGCTTTGTTCTGGGGATTGTGCTTGACATTGGAGCTATGAAAAGGAATCAGACACAATGGCCGCATTGAAGTCTTGGTTGTAACTCATCCACCTGTGGAGAATAAATTAAGATAAAGATGTTCAGGCCAACAACTGAGAGAGTCTAAGTCAGGGGACTTGGACCCTGGACTTCTGCATTGGTCTATGTTACCCAGAGATGATTCTAAAGAGGAGCCAGGATCTCAAAGAGCCTCAAGCCCAAGAGGTACCTGAGGAGCAGAGCTGGACACACACCCAGATGATGACAGTAGTATCTTGAATTGCAAGGATGTGACCGGAGAGGAAGGGGAAGGGATGAGGATTGATGAATGGGAGGAGTGGTCAAGGCTCATGTCACTGAGATGCCGCCAAGCTCGTCTTTGGGTTAAATAGGAAAGTTCTCTGACAAAGACGAAGAGCAGGCCATTCTAGACAAAGCAAAGACAGTGTACAACCACTCTTAGGTTTACCTGTTTGTGTGTCTGCTTGTGTGTGTGCATGCTTGTGTGAGTGTGTGTGTGTGTGTGTGTGTGTGTGTGTATGTTGCTGAGGATTGAACCCAGAGCCTCATACATTGTTAGGCACATTGCTGGGCTGAGCTACACCTTCATTCCTTTCTTTAAACATTTATTTTGAATCAGGGTCTTGCTTAACTGTCCAGAGTGGCCTCCAACTTGGCGCCCTCCTGCTGGAATTACAAGGGTACATGCCACCATAACTGACATTCATCTGTTATTTTTCTTATTTAAAATGGAAAACACAAATGGCAAAGGAAACTGTCAGCTCTCATTTTTGAAGATATATGATTTTTTCAACTTTATGATAATTAATATTGCAGAGGAGAGGATTCGTGTCTTAGATGATTTTTATGTCATTGTCAGACTCTAGCAGGGTGCTGGAGACTTGGCGGGCATTAATAATTGCTGGAAAAATGGCTCTCATACTCAAGAGCCATTGTCATTATTTTTTCACTTACATTTGTATTTTTCTCAAATTTAGAGGGCCAAGAAAACATTGACTTTGACAGAGGAGGTCACATCTGTGCCATCTCTGCAAATCAATCAGCGCTGCTGAAATGCTACTTAGCATTCTGCTGATGGCTTTCCTTGCTCAGTGGTGACAGATAGACTTGTCCCCTACCTCAGTGAGCACGCTTAGGCAACCAGGATTAGAGCTGCTGAAATTCCTAATGTCTCCTGCCACATGGCTCTCAGAAAGGATAGGACACTCCACGCAGAATCACTTCTTCTGTCTCAAAGGCCCACTGAATGGTTCTGGATGTCCGTATTTTATGCAGGACAAAGGCCTGAAAACCAGATGACCTGACAAATACACCCATTCTAGCACAATTGGTTCCTTCTGCTTTCTTTTACAAATAGTATTTAGATTTGACTTGTCAGAAATGTACTGAATGTCAGGTTATCACAAGAGAGGGACACAGGCTTGTTAAGCTAAAGAACTGTCCCATGATTTCTGCTATTTCTCTGAAGTTTCACTTCTTTAGCTGTCTGGATTGAGAAGTCTCGATGGTAAAGTGCAAGACAATCTACAGTGGGCATTTTTAGAATTTTAAGATGAAAAAGCAGGTACCAACAAGGGACTTTATACACCACCCACCAGGTTTAGAGCTCTAACTCTCTCACTACCACTTCTTTGGCCTAGTCAGAACCCCAGGCCATTGAATTCACTGGGATAGCACCGTGGAATTCTTTACTTTAAGACACTGCATTCTCCCAACTATCAGCACATTAATGACCTTTATGTCTTTCAAAGCAATACGCTTGATTCCTCTAGGTACTGAAATCAGGTCAGCTTCACTGCCACCTCCATTGTTAATATGCTTCTCCCTCATCCAGCACCCAGTTAGGATTTATTGAGAGCTCCATGGTGAAGTTAAGGCCCATAAAGTAAATTGATGTGTTGCACATGTTTGGTTACAGATGGAAAATGGGCATTCTGAAGGGCACAAGGAGAGAATGTTTATACACTGAGCATCAGTTTCAAGTTAGATTGCCTGGGTTTGAATCTTCGCTCTTCCTTTATTAGCTCTGTGACCTCGAGCGCCTGCTCACTTAAGTGGTCTTGTCCCCCACTTTCTCCGCAGTAAGGTCTCCCTACTCAAGTAGATGAGTATTTAATACATTAGAACACTTACTGGGGTTGGCCTTGTGCATATAATGTGTAGTCAGCATGCAGGACACAGTAAGCAGTATTTATCATTACACGGAAATTGAGTTCATGTATGTGAGTACACACCTTTAACTCCTCCTAAATTTAAGAGCTTTTGAGTTATTGATACAACTCTCACAAAAGAGTGGCAAAAGTATTGGTGAGAAGTGAACAACCTTTTTCTAAGACAGAGCAATTGAGAATCGCTGACTCAAGGCGATTGCTCAGAAAGCGTTACCTAGTGAGGGAGTCGCGGATTAATTAAAATAGTCGAGAGTCTTTGTGACAGTCTGTGAAAACTACTTTCATCTTTGAAGTAGAGATTGAATTAGTTGCTCAAAGTACATTTATTAACCAAAAGGATGACTGCCCAGTTCAATGAAGACAAAGTCAGAGATCTCCTGGATCTGACTCTACCTCAACTCCCTCTAGCCAAGTGCATTTCCTTCTTCTGGTTTCTAAATTGCCAGGGGCAAATTTGAGCCACTTAATAGCTGTTAAATTTTGTGAGCCACCAAAGACCTTTATCACACTGGTGTCAAAAAGAAAGAGTGGTGCTCCCAGGCATGTCTGCTTAATAGATTCCTGGAGAATGTTGCTCTCCAGCTCCAACCCTATCCAATGAAATATGGTCCAGAAAACCCTGCACAGAGACAAGCTTCATTTTCCACAATTAGCTCTAAAGTAGGCCTGCAGGAAATGGTTTCCTCAGCTCATCTCCCTGCATTCCCTGCTTTGGATCACAGGGCAATCTGTTTAAATGACTAATTACAGAAATCATTAAAGGCACCAAGCAAATGTTGTCTTTGAATACCCACTTTCCAAGTTTTACAAGCCTTGCTTGGCTTGACAGTGATGGGGCCACTTAAC